CTGCGCATAATAGAAATCGTGTTTTGAAATTGGAGAACATAGGTTGGAATGTGGCGTAATAAAAATTGGCATCGATATAAAAAACGAAACTGAAATGGAATAGAACCGATGAACCGCTTTGAAAACCTTTTTGCTTCGTATACATTGGGACGAATATAAAAAGTTTTATAGATTTGGAATGGATATTTCATTCGGGAACAAACGATGACAATTGTGTAACGAACGAAGCATCGCGTGTTAAAAGACATTGAAGAGAATGTTTGGGATTCTCGTTGTAATAAATAATTTCGTAAAAATAAAAATGAAATAAGATCGAAAAATGGCAAGTTTTAAATCATTTTGATTAATGCAAAATTCTATTTCGTACATCTGCAATAGTTTACACACGGAAAATATAATTCTTTTCCAATCTCTTAAAAATTATGAATTACAAACTATGTATCGATAACGTTTATTCTATTAAAAATAAAACGCGTCGATCAATTTTGTTTTGCGTCGAAAATTCGTCGAGATCAAAACCAGTTTACGTATAAATCACGAATTTTCGGCACGCATTACGCGTATTTCAAGATGCCCGGATTTCAAACTCACGCTCATCTGTCGTTAATAGAGAAGCGCGATCGATTTTGAAAGAGCAGAACGATTGCTGCCAATTCAAAAGGTTATTCGCATGACCCACATTCAGTTCTCTCAACGCTATACGAATTTTCATACAGATGGAGAATTTACATGAATTCCAGGAACACGCATGATTACGAGCGAACTATGCGTATATTAAAAGGATGAGTGATCTGGCATATGTTCAATCAATATTTTGTAATTAAAGTGATATATTGAAAGATTCAGATTCAGAGACGCGAAAAAGGACATCCATTGAATTAATTTCAAATTTAAAATAAGAAAATATTTTATAATTGTAATATAGAATTGAAAAATATTATTAAAAAAAAAAAATATATACATAAAAAAAATAATTAAAATAATTTGATTATCAATTTTTAACGTACAATGAAACTTATTCTCGATATTTATATATTGTCAAAAATTTCTTGTACATTCATTTTTCGATAAAAATTAAATTTCTATTTAAATTTTTTTTTTTTTTTTTTAAGAATCGGTTATTTCTTTTTCAGTTAATTTTTATACAAAAAAAAATTGATTTTATAATTGTCTTCAGAAACAAAATTAATAATGAATATAAAGATTCCATTATTTTTCATCAAAAGTTTTATACAAAAAAAATAAAACTAGTTCGATATATTTTGCATTTGTTTTGAAAAGCAAAAAGAGAAAAATTTATAATGTCAGACTTATCTATGTTGTTACATATGCGATTCTGAATGATTTTAGTACATCATTTTCGAGATTGTTTATGCAATTTCTATCTCCAAGATGATGTAACAAGATATACAAGTTAAAAATCAGAGACAGTATATTTATCGTTCATTCGAAAAATATTCTTTTCCCCAATTTCTATTTTCATTCGAATAGAATTCTTAGCGAAATTCAACTTGTGAATCTCCTATAAATAAACAAATACATTATGTAATTTCACGTTAAGAACAATAGCTTGTTTAAGTTTCCTTTCATCAAAAATAAGATTTTTTATTTTTTATTTTTTTTCTGCATTATTTTTGTATTTATATGATTTAATTTGCTATCAAAAATTAAAATATAAGGAATAAATTGAGTAGAATGAGTAACAATTTTAATTTCAATTTTTCTATAATAATATAATATATATAATATACGATAATAATACGATAAAAATATAATATTAGCGATTAGGAATGATTTATTAAAAAAGATGTATATAATTCTTTCTAACTAAATTAATTAAATTAATTAAAGTTATAATTCATGAATTATTTTTCAACTAGAAATAAAGAACTAGTGAATAAGTTATAAATGTATCGATTTTCTTTAAAAACTCGAATTTCATGAAAGTTTTCTCTAGAGATCTAGAAATTGAAAATTTTTAGCCTTTTAGATTAAATTATGGGGAAAAAGAAAAGATTCG